CCAGATCTGTCTGGAAGGTACTTCCAACTGGGAAGGACAGAGGACCTTTGACAATGTTGGTATTGAAAAATACCATTTTTTTGTTCAGTACTCTTTATCTCTGGACTGGAGGTTCAAGGTCAGAGGGGCCATACCCAGCCCCATCTGCCTTACCTTCACCATTTGCACAGAAAAGCAGACATCCCCTGAAATCACACATTGCCTAATATTTGCATTTCAGGTGGAACCTCGAGCTGCCAAAAAGCCCATCAATATGTGGTCGGAGAAAGTGAGACCAACTTCAAGCCTGCAGAATCCATGCTCGTGTCTTTTGTGTTAGGCAAATGCTATAAATCTTGCTGTAGAAATACAGAATATTTCCAATAGTAAACATTTACCCTCTCCACAAGGGTTTAACTAGATGTCATGGTAACTAGACCACACAAGTTGCAAAGGAAATAAAAGAGCTCCCTCCCTCTCCCCTGGCTACCCACCGTCAAAAGCACCAGTAGCTTTGACTTCCCAATCCTCTTAGGGACTTCCACAGGAGTTTTAATTGAGTTTGAAGTATATGGCGACTCCAAGACTACCAGAGCAAATCCTTGTGAGGAGTGACATCTATGACAAAAGCATTAAGGGGAGCCTTCTGTGTAGGGACTGTATAGAAACCCAGTAAGGAACCACAAAACCAAGCAATGTGCATTAAAGCATTTTCATTGTCATTCTAGAGCCGTTGGCTGTGGAACAACTTGGATCATCAAATACATCATGTCTTTGTGGAAGAGACAGGGAAATAATATCTTCTTGGAGCGCAAATAAAGAACATGATATTAAAAAATTCCCAAGCATTATTTTTTTCCTGAATCACTGCTATTATTAGGTTTTTTTTCTTTTTACTGTACACTGATTTTCTAAAATGTGGGGGGAAAAAACAGGTAAATATTTAAGATAAGTAAATCGTTTAACTGTCAACTGCTTTCCTCTTCTCAAGGTATATTAAGTTTTATGGTTAATATATTTCTGAGCTAAGGGAACCTTTGGCCTTGGAGAAATGTGCCTCTGGGCTCCTCACGCTCCAGAATCTCCTGCCAAGGAACGGTGAGCTGAGGCTTGCTGACACACAAACGCTAGCATGTGCCATCTGCCCATCCCACTCAGCCTGCCTGTCAAACCTGCTGCCTCTGGTTCTCCAGGTTGCCCCATCATCATTATGATATCAAATCTCCAGAGTCCAGTTTCTCAGACTACAAAATAATCTTGAAAAACACTCCGTTTTGTTCCACCGGGCACATACTCCTGGGCAGCCTGCGCACTGCAGCTGGGGAAGCCCTCCCGCCTTGCCTCTTGCCTGGCAGCTCTTGTACAGCCCCGCTGTGCCCTGGTCCCCTTGGCAAGGAGCTCTATCGGCTGCACAGGACGGTGTTACCATCCCTCTCTGCTCTGTCAATAAAACCCCTGTGCAATGCCTTGCCCTGGTTCTTCTCAGTCCTCTCCAGGCTTCCAGTTCTGCTTTATCACTCAGCAGATAAAGGCTCCCTCTGATTTCCCCCAGCTCTCAGCTGGTTTATGCCACCTGGCTCCCACCCTTGTGTAAGGAGGCTCCTGCTTTCAGTTGCGTCCTCCTACTACCTCCCTGCCCACTGCCTCGGTCCCACCAGCCGTACGGCTCCATGTCAGGACGGGTGGGCTATGGTGAAAGCAGCTAAAAATGTGTTATTTTCTCTCCTTGTCCTTCCTTCTCTGTGCAACTTGCCATCCACTGAGATTCGGGCCTGCATTTGCAAAATGTTGCATGAAGTTTGGAGATGGAGAAGATGGGAAATGCCTAGCTTGCTGCCCAGAGAGTGAGAGCTGTCTGCATATCCAAGCTCGTACAAACCTGCCTCCCCATGCAGGCAGCTTGTCTGGCCACTCAGACAAACATTAATAGTGTAAAGCAAAATAGGCACAAAACAGAAGCAATGTTAAGTTACCGTGAGATTCTTGAACTTGAGCCTTTGGCGGGAGCAATCAGGGGCCTTAGGACAACCTTCCTCAAGACCTCCCACGGTTTCCTGTGTGCAAAATCAAGGCGGTATCCCTGGGGTTTGGTGTCTAACCTGCTGGTCCTAGAAGGCCCTAGTGCCAGACACATAAAGGTCTAGATGTGGCATGTCTGCCTTACTTAGAAAGTCCATCAGACTAAGTAACAGGAAGAGGCCTGTCCTAGCTTTTGAAATGCATTTTATTTATACATTTGATTATAAATTCAGCCACACCATGCAACGCTTGGCAAAAGCAAAAAAAGAGCCATAAAATCAGCTACTACACTCTCCTCCCCACTAAAGGTTTCCATCAAGGATGAGAAAAATGCCAAGTAAAAGTGAAGTGGGTGGAGGGAAAGCACGTAATAAATAATGAAAGATGCAATGGATCAGAGTCCTTAGGTAATCAGCATACTTAAGCCATAAAGATATCAAAAAGAAATAAGCTCTGTCCATATCTCAGGACTACATATCTCACAATTACTTTGCTATCAAGAAAGAGTTTTCTGCACAAATATCTGTGCAGAATTGCTACACTTTCAGTGTATGCTATGGTCCAATATTGTCTCCTAGAGTCAAAAACTAATTAAGTGTTAATATTTTCAGGGTGTTGTTGTGGGTTAGAAGGCTTAGTTAAATAATTGCTGGACTCCAGTGTATTTTCTTACATTGCTTTCATCTAGTCTTTCACCTCTCTTTGCTTCCTCAAGGCTAATGCGTGGAATATTAAAAATAAGACAAGTCTCAAAATCAGAGGACTCCATCTTTGCTAATACTATAGCAGGCAAATGTATGGGGGAAATAAACTGCACCATCAGTTTAGTATCTAACTCAGAAAATCTACCCTCCTAGATACTAATTTTCATCCAAAAGCTTTGTGAGCCTGCAGCAGTATTAAAAAATGTATTTTTCCCAATCTACTTGAAATGAAATCCTTTGCTTTTGCCATATAGCAGCAATTATAAAGTCCTTATCTCCTGAATCACATTAATTTTGCTTACAATAGAGTCACCTTCTTCTGCTCTGTTTTGGCAGGTGTTTACATTGGCCACAAATTCGAGTCCGATAAGCCTAGCAGTGAAAAGCTACATGCACTTTTCCCTCCAGATTAGATGCTAGGCAAGTTCCATCCCGACAATTATTGTCTGTGTTTTGGTCAATAAGTCCCATTGGTCCTGGGGTTTAGTTATACTAGGTACTTTAATCTGAGTGCGATACTGTATTATCTGTGATCAACGCTTCAAAGGCAGCGTTACAACTGTCTAGTGAGGGCTGCAGAGCTCTTCCTTAAAGCATATATGGCCTTTACCCATCCTGCTGCAGACATACTCGCTTCTCAACTGCTCCCAGCCCTTTTGAAAGCCTCTTGTGAATGTGACAGCATTCATAAGAAATGGATGGTCATCTGCAGTGAAGGTTTCTAGAAGGATCCTTCTCTAAGTGAGTCACAGACAATTCCGCCAGGGGCTCAGAGATTCAGGGAGCTGACAGTTGGCATTGGAGGTAAGGTGAAGTCAGTACCTCATTCTCCCTGGAGAAAGAAAATATCACCATATCTTCTCCAAGACTGTCAGAAATTGTGTTAAAAAAATGAGAATTGCTTGCAGGCAAGAGGGTAGCCATATATCCAGAAACATGCTGGTGAGGGCCGCTGCCTGGGAGTGCAGGAATTGCTCAGCACCCTGCTACCAGCTGCCCTTTCCCTCTGCTGGCGAGGGGGAGAGCCGTGCTCCAGTTCTCCCACGGCAGCCTGTGGCTGGAGGAATGGGAATACACATTTTTAACACGGGTTTCGCTGTGACCCGTGTTATGCTAAACTGATATTTCAGAAGGGGCTACAGAGGTGCTGACATTTCCCAAGTGTAGTCAACGTGGGATGTGCTGTGAGATGGGGGGAGAGGGAGTTACTTAAAATAACGTGCTTGAATAAATCTCTCGCTCTCTGTAGTGATTTGCAGCAGTGCAGTAACTTGCTGTCTGCAGCAGCAGCACTGAACAGCATTGGCTGCACACGGCTTCTTCAGCTGGGGTGAAAGCAGTAGCTACCTGGCAGCCAGAGAGACACCCAGGTAATAAAAGTGCCGAAGGACAGGCTCATTTCTTTTGCCTTATTTGAGTGGCTGAGAGCAGCTGTCCTTTGTGTCTTGCTGGCTTCGAGCAGTAGGGAATATTTGCAAAGTCACCTTGAGCTACTGCTGAGCTCCCAAAATTTGGCCATGCACTTTCTGTTATGCTGACAATTGATGTGTGCAGCAGAGCAAGGGCTGCGGATCCATTACAGCTTGGCAAGTCCATTTAAACCACGAAGGGAGACGTTACTCTATATCTGAGATGGATTTTCCCAAGTTTATTGGTTTTAATCCCTGCAGTTAGGTATATGTTGATTATCACAAATGACAGAATAGAGTTGTAGCCATGAATCCTAATTTATATAGAAGCACCCAGAACTTTAGCCTTTATTTCTTAAAAAATGTTTATGCTGGCAACCCTGGTTTGCAGTAGAATATTTTTATCGTGGAGAAGAAACACGCAGGTTGTGAACGTACGTGTTGGATCTGAACCACAGCTAGGCACAGAGCAGCCCACAGCAACAAAGAGTGAGCCTATCTGCCTGGCAATGTCTGTGAAATCCCTTTGTGGAGTTGACATGTGCAATAATGGCTACATCTGGAAAGCACAGCACGTGCTTGATCAGAAGAGAACATCTGTACACATGGAGATGTGGCCAGTGAAGCATCTTCGTACGCTGCTGACCGTGGTATTTTGCACGGCTCTTTGAGCACTCCGTAGGAGAAGTGTTAAAATGTGGCTTAGGGGCTGACTAAGCTGGTTTCATACAAGATAATTAATTCTTTGCTACAAAGATCACTTGTGTTAAATGTGATAATCCAAATCTGTGGCATGGTCCTGAACAGCTTTCTACTGCAGCCATCCACAAACAATGCTCTCAATAATCAATTCCTGTTGATGGTATGAAATCAGCCAGCCTTGCTTATCTGTATCTATAGTCATTTATTTCGTTATCCAACCACATAATGACAACACAGTCACTGCAATTAATAGTACACAAGTATCATTAGTACCATGAGAGGATATAGTCCACAGTTTGGAAGCCAGCAGCAGCTGGAGATTTTCTTATGTTCGTGTTAATTCTTAGCACTTCTTTTCTAAATTTGCATATGCTACAGAATTGCTTTTAATAGCAGGTATGCAGGGGAGGTAGACACTTAGCAAGTCCTCATTATTAGAGGACATTTTTGACAATATTTAACTTTTTCTTTCCATCTCAGTTCTGACTTCTTTTTTTCATGTCTCCCCTACTTCTGGGAATATGTGGACGAAACACGTTGTTCACATCTGCCATTTTGAAGTTCGCTGACCCTTCCCATGGCTTTTGTGCTGTAGGAATACACAAGATGGAAAAGCTTCACTTACTGTAATAATAAAGTAATATTTTATTGCTATGCTAATAACATTTGACAAGGTGCTTCCAAGTACAGCTTTGCATTGCCTCAGAAAAAATGTTTCTTCTCCCTCCCCTGTTTTGAGTAACTGTCTGGTTCTGTATAGAACACAGACATTAATATGTCTGTAGAAGACTGAGCTCACAAGACACATAAATGGCCATGTACAGCGATTTAAAAATATACCTCTAGATTTGAGGCTGGCATTATGTTAAATGAAAGCAACTGTATTGTTAAGCTGCATTGCGTAATTAAAACTCCATTTAATCGCTTACCTGCATCGCATGCCTCTTGTGCTCTCCATCCATTATCAGCTACATGAATTATTGGAAAAAGAAAACATTTTTTTCTGGTTTTTCAAATGTGTCTGGTAAAACAAATATGTTTGCATTTAGGGCAAGACTACATTGTCTTCAAGCCCCCCACTGAACAGCTGTTCTCAAACACATCCTTTCTGAAGTAAAATTTTACCATTAACCTTTCCCTAAGAAATGCTTGTCAGAAGAGAGTATTGTTCCCCTCCAAAAATTAAAAAGTGGTGAAGAAGGTAGGATTTTATTTTGAATTTATGAATTAAGAAAAACTTGTTTGCAAACTGACCTTTAGTTGCAGCAATTAAAAAATATAAAAAATCTTTCAAATAACTTCTAAATAAGTTTTCTTCAGAAAAGCTTGCAGAAAAGATGCACCACTGTACCCAGCAGAAATCTCTTTGAGCACTGGACTAGTGCTATCTGAAGAGAAATACGGTTTACAGATTTAAGATCTCCTGCAGCATTTGGATTTGTCTGGGAATCCTTTCAGGCACTGGGTTTGCTCCAGCTCCTGCTCAGCTGGTGGGAACCCCTCCACGGTCTTTCCTCGGAGCAGGCTCAGGCTTTTACTGAGTACTGAAGCAAACCCTCAGGCTGAAGATGACTGATTTCTCTGGTGAGTTCCCAGAGATTTCTGCCCACTGCAGATTTTGAGAACTGTGCCCTGAGGCTGCTCTCCTACTGGTCTCACCTCTGGCAAGGAGAGGAGATGCATGCAACAAAATGCTGCTCACATTTTTAGGTGAGGGATTTTCTCTGCAAGACTCACAGCCCCAGGCCAGAGTCCTGAGGAGTAACTACTATTTTTGAACACTTACCGTTTGAAGAGGTACCGGTATCTGAAGCCCCACTGTAAAGAAACAGTGTTGAATGTTAGTGCCTCATAAAACACAAATCACATCTTGTTAATAACGAAATAAGAGACTTGAATAGATCTGACCCCCTCTTTTGAGATGAAGGACAGCCTTGTAGACTCTGCTTGGCTGAAGCAGAGGAGCACAGGACACACAGTCCTTAAATGAACAACTGTTGGAGAAATTTGCAGGGAACATTTTGTAAGTAAAGAAAAGGATTTACCTGTTCCACTTAATTTGGTTGGTGAGTTCACCTAAGAAAGATGGAGAAGAATGTTTTACAAAGCTGGCAATGCATTCAAGTTTGGTACGTGGTACTGTGCCCCTGGATCTCATGGTCGGGGATAAACTAGGTGGGGATGGGGGTGGGCAAACGAAGAAGACGTTTCTCAAAAGCATGATTGAGCACCTAAAGACTCGGGAGGTAGGTGGGAGCAGGAAACCATATCAGACAGAGGAGGAGCTGGCCTTATGCTGGTTAGGGGCAGACCTTTTCCTTGTTATACACAGAAACAGTCTTTCTGCCCCCTTTGCCCTCCCCTCTCCAACACCGCCAAGATCCCATCCGAATCATCAGCCCCTCAAGGCCATGCACACCCCCCATATAAAGGAGCCAGCGTTCGGCAGCCGTCAGCCTGGCTCACTGAACCCCACGGCTTGCTGTTTTCTGCTCGGGGTCAGCGGTGCGTGGCTGGCGGGTCGGGGCAGATCACTCACTGTGCACGCCTTGCAGCAGCGAGTCCTGCTGACTCATGAAGTCCCACATCAGGCGTCGGCAGCGGTCGATCCTGGCCTGATCCACCTGCACTACCACCACGTCCATGCTCCTGCTGCTGAAATTCTGACTCGCAATCCTAGGATGCAGGCAGTCATTTCACCAAGGAAAACCATTTAGCATTAGAAAGTTAACAACCTCCTTCGTTAGGAAGGACTCTACAAAGAGGAGGGTGCTTTGGCAACATGAAGTATCAGGTAACCTCTGATAAGGTTAAGTGAGTTGCAATTGTTATATATTGTTATTTACTTGGCAATGCCTTTCGCTTACCAAACCTAGATGGCAACTTTCAAATGCTGAAAATGAGAAAGGGGGAGGCGTTTTGCTAATACCCTTGTGCAAATAGTGCTTTGACCTGCTGCAGGCAGGCTCTTACTGTTCTAGCACAACCGCCGTTGTGATAGAAAGAAAATGCCAAACATATTAAATGGTGTCCAGGCTTCTGGAAAATGACTTTGATCCCACAGGCTAGATTTTGACTTGCAGCACAGCTGTGAGTAATGGACTGTGCTGCTGCCAGTATAGCCCCTAGGTACACGGTGATTCAAAGTTATCCTTACAATCCAAGTTCAAACTCAGCTTTAATTTGTACAAGTTACAGAGATGACATCTTAAAATCCAGCTAGATGTTTGAGCTAGCCCTTCATGCGGCTGGGGAGTTTAGTGTTGCAGCAAGATCTCTTGTGGATCTGTAACTTACTGTTGGTGTGGTTTTGCACCATTGAATTACAGCTGACACCCAGGCATCAGTTAGGAAGTGATAAGTTATAAATTAAATGTATCACTTGTGAGAGAAGGGATAATAAATCTGTCTAGCTATTAAGCTTGTCCACAAGCAGAAGCAAAAATCAGTGGGAAATGAGCCAGTTACCTCTGCAGCCAAAGGCTGTTCATTGTGACCTACGTGCAGGAGTGTCACCAATACACAGCCAAGAGAGTGTTGCTGTAAACTGAACCCTATGGGCTTCATCTCCAATAAAAACGTTTTCTGGTAATAAAAGCCAGTGGTTTTCATCAGAATCCAGCAACCATGTAGCTGCCAAGGAAACTGAAACTTAAAGGGACCACTGGAACGGCAGCCAGATATCTCTCCATCCTCGTTAATTGTGTGGACATGGTGCCCTCTGGCTTGGCTGGAATAGGGAGCAGCTTTGCAGCATAGGGTGCCAGGACAGAGGGGCACAGGCAGTGGGGTTTGATCCCAGTTATCAACACCATATTTTTTCAAAGAAGAAAACAAGTGTTTTCAGGTGGAACGTACCTGCCCACGGCCAGTTTAAATTCCTACAAATAGGATTGGCAAAAAAAAAGGAAAAAAAATTGTTAGTGTGATTTCCAGAAAGGGCAGCTGGCTGAGAAATAGGCATATTGATGAAGAAAAGCAGAATACCACTGCTTACTTTGCAGAAGATGAAAATATCTGTTTGCTCTCTCATCTTCTGCAAAGACTGAAGATGCTGTGCAGCCTCATCTCTCCTCTGTTCCATTTCCTTCTTCACTTTGTTAATGTCTGCCAGTTGTTTTTTCTCATTGGATTGAATGTCACTCAGGATCTTCTTCTCTTTCTGAATCATGTCTGTCTTCATCTCTTCAAACAGCTTTTGCAGCTGAGAAGTCACTGTTTTCGTGTTGGTCTAAATGAACAGATAAGAAAATGGTGCACTGGCTCAGGAACCCAACACTTCAGCTTAGTGTCTCTGTTTATTAATTAGGATTGTATCTATCCTTTGCACTGGGTTTAGAAGGAAGCAGGCAGTATGCATTCACTTAGAATATCTGATTAAACAGAGGGTTATGAAAATTATTGTGCTATAGTAACAAAATCAGCTAAAATTCAGCTAGCAATGTGAGAACTGTATCAGTACACACTGAAAAGCCCACTTGTATACTCAAATTGTTTTTCTTTTATTTAACAGATAGAAAACATTAAAAATATATAATGATATGTACAATCTGTGGTCTGCCAGTCCTGCAACCTGGTCCGTGCAACCACAATAAATGGTGGAGTCTCCCAGCTGGTTCCTCCTGCGGAGCTATGCTGGGAGGCTGTGAGACAGCTTGGTTCTGGCAGTTTCTTACACCAGTGTTTTCCCTGCTTTGGACTATAACTCTTTCTATTCATCTGCTCCTAACGGTATAGTTTCCATCACTTATTTCCTAGAAATTGTGGAGGGAAGATGCTCTGAATTAGCGACAATCTGGGTACCAACCTTGAGCTGATTCTCGCTTTTGTGAAGCTCTTCTAGGGCGGTCGCTAAAGCACTTTTACGTTCCTGCAGCCACCTCACAATGTTCGAGAGTTCACGCTAGCAGAAGGAAAGACAACATTGAACTTCATAGCAGGGAAGCAGCACAGGTAGCTTTAAACCAGACTGGCAGTTTCTGGAGCTGGTGAAATGGCACGGGCGCCTTCCACCTGCCTGCTTTCACCAGTAAGCCCTATAATAAACTGCATTCATTTGCGTCCTCATAAAGATAGTGCATAATGGGAAAACTGATATGATGTCGAAATCTTTCAAATCAATGTTTAATTTTTATATATGTGTAACTTTGTATGTGGTAGGTTAATAAACAACTTTCCCTTTGAATAAGTAAATTTCACTTTAAATGAATAAATCTCACTTTATCCGTTAAAGCTCTGTTCCTGCCAGAATCTTCACATGTGCCTAATGTGATCCAAATCCTTAGTTTTCACATCTGTCAGCAGCTGTGGGATCTGAGGATAAGGTAATAAGCAACCATCTTTTCTGAAGATCAGCAAAACAGCGGTACTTACTCACCCAGCTGTTCATTTTAACGGATACCACGATCATCGAGTGCTGTTATACTGCACAATAACACATTTCAGAGGGGACATTAAACCTCGTTCTTCAGGGATTAGACAGCATCTGAATGGTTCTGGTTGCTCCTGGCAGCCTCCAGCAGTGTTTTCACACCTCGAGCACCCATGAATGGCTGCGACAGACACAGCTGCCATACTCCCCTTTCTTTACCAGCTCCAGGGGTGAAGGAAATGGCTACTTATCCTACACAGCCCACTTCTGTTTGGCAGCCCTGAATTTTTTGTATGTAACTTGGGGGAGAAAGTTAGTTTGCAATACATATAACTGCAAAGGATGCTTCCTGCTAATACCCAAGGAGGCTGTGACCTGTCCTGAGGTCCAGAGCGAGCCAGACGTTTCCTGCCTGCGCACTGGGTTGCTGCGGGGTGTTTTGCTTGGGCTCTAAATTGAGCCCAGAAATTTCAAACGCAAGGCAGTGAATGAGCAAATACATTTTATCCCCTCAGTCTCAGCTGATTTTGGAGCGTTTCGAGGACAACGGCTGGCCTCAGAGGCAGGGACATCGAGGCCCCATGTCTCTGTGCCCGCTGGGACGCTGGCTCCGCAAAACTTAGGGCAGAAGGAGGGAGCCAGAGGGAAGGGCCTCGAGTGGGAAAACCTGTTTCCCAACCCAAAGTTCAGCAGTGGTGAGGTCCCCGAGGCTCTGTGGAGGAAGAGACTCCTTAATCCCTGCAGGAATACTTCTTAATCCCAGCCAGGAACACCCTGGTGAGTGGCAGTTTGCAGTTGCCTGGGGCCGCACACGATGGGCGTGCACTTCAGCGTTGCGGGACAGCAGAGCCCTGCGCCTGCCCCTCGCTCGCCC